ATACATAGGCAATCTATTCCCTGTCGTTATACATAGCTTGGAGACCGGATGCTTTATTCCCTATCTTAATACATGGGGGTCTTCACTTTCCCCCCCCCCCCCCCACTTCTCCACCAACATATATTACTACTATGGAATCCAATTACAAATTTTAAGTTTTTGTTCAATCTAAATGGTGGAGGTACCACTTGGATATTTGAAAAAAAAACTTTTGACTCAGCATTATAACCTATGAAATAGCTTACCTCAGTTTGTTTTCATTCTTTTAGTAATTGAGATCGGAAAAGTGTTTATTTTTTTTATTATTTGGGATCAGAAAGGTGTTCAATCTTCTAGTGTTTGAGATTTAGCTGGTGAGTTCTGGTCAGCACTAAATGAGATTGACTGTCGGACATTTTCACAAAAAAAAATAGATTGAGTTAAAATGTAATTTCGAGACATAACCATCCGTGTTTTTGGAATCCGGAAATCAACGCGGATTCCGCTAACATAAAGCGGACTTCGCTTGCAATATGCGTGTTCCGCTTGCATTAGCGGGTTCCGCAGAAGCTCAATTTTACTGTACTGGAAAACGAGAAGAAAGCCCCATGTTAAAAGAGAAAGAAAAAAAACATCACTTCGCATGGAATGCCAGGAAGAGTTTAAAAGTTCAACCAATACGGAAGAAAATTGAAAAAAGAGCCTTGATAGTTAGGACAATTAGGACATAAGATTACCAGAGACGCAAACAACCAAAAATTCATTTGGTTCGACAAAATTGATGGAATAAGTTGAAGAAAACAAAATAAGGAAGGGATACACAAAAATTATTGGATGAAATTAGCAAAGAAGCCGGGCAGGTCAAATTTACAAAAAACCTCATAATAAAAAGAAAATGTTGAGGCGTTGCATGGTAAGCGAAAAATTTAGACCCACTTCAAAGTGGGAAACGAATCAGGAAAATGGACTAGACGACGCAGAAAAATCAAGAGAGCACAGAACGAGAAGAACGAATCATGTATATGAGTATTGCGCGAAAAGATTTGCAAAAAGAGGGTGGGATGGCAATTCGCGCAAAAAGGATGATAACAGAGATTACGAAGCTCAAATGCATCGGATGTGCCAGAGAATTCAACCAGTCAGCTTATCTAAAGAACCACCTGATAGCCTGCATTGGAGCAGAGTTTTCAACAAAATTTTGACCAGAAAACAAGAAATGCAACGAATACAATAATATGATACTTTTAACTAACCCGGGTTGACCTCCATAGACCGAAAATGCTAATCATACAATTTCATACACTTAGTCTATGGAAAAATGCTAGTCATACAAATTTTATACATTTTTGCAAAATGAGTTTAATCGAATTTCAAAGGTATTTTATAGTTGTTTTGGTATCGAAATTGGTATCTCTTCATTAAAAAAAGGAAAAACGCTTAAAACTCCTCTTTCTTTTGTATGACATGTTTTTGTATGCCTTGATCAATGTCTGGTAAATTAAAAATTCAAGTTTTAGAAATAATCATCTTTGAAAATTATTGCCAAAATTTAAAAGTTCATTACTTTCGTTATATTATTTGTCTGAGACAGAAGTTACACTTATCAGGCTGTTTCCAATGCATTTTTAATGCGAGAGGGTCAAACCGTTGGTTACTACGTTTGAGTAATCAAGGTTTATGTCATTTGTGTTCGGTTACGAACACAACCAAAAAGTTTTGAGAAATTAAAATGGAAAAATGCTAGTCATACAATTTCCATATATGAAAAAAATACTAATCATAGACCTTTCATGCAATTTTCTGTACGTATGGAATTGTATGGAAAGTGTATGACTAGCATTTTTCCATATATGGAAATTGTATGACTAGTATTTTTGGTCATCCCGGGAATCTAGCTAGACATCAGAGGTGCTGCTGAGGACCTGGGCTAAGGTCATGAAGGTGGACACCGGAAAAGGAAAAGGTTGACTACATTCTGCCTACTTCTGGAGTAGAAACTTATGTTAATTTTTTTTGTAAAATTTAAACACTAGGGTTCTTGCTGTTTTTTATCACAAAAAAAAACATTAAAAGAGCAGAACTACTTTCATATCAATTTTCCTAAAAATATGAATTGAAAAAAAATCTGATTAACTGATTTAATTTCATATTTTGTCGAAAAATATTTTTCAAAACAATTTTATTTGAAAAGAACATAAAAGTATGTTAGACATGTTTGGCTGTATCAGTTCTTTAATCTTGTCTGTCAAACAAAACGTTGTGCAAAAAATTTGAACCTAATTCAGCCGAAAACTTCAGGTTAAAAGGCACATATAAAGAACAACATCCTACAGATTAAAGTAGTGTTTGAATAATTATCAAAAATATCAAAAAACTATCGGGAAATGAAAATCATTACGACCATTTTCTGCACTTTTTCTTCGAGTTTAAATTATTTTTTTTAATGAAGCAACAGAAGTCTTATGGCTTTTTAACTCAAAAAGCGATATAAAACAAGTAAAAATATTCAGTGTGTGCTATTTTTTTTTCAAAATTGAAAACTTGTTTTTCAGCTATTAAAAAGTAAATGCTACTAACGGAAGTCAAAAAGATCAACCAATTCTTAACGGATGTCAAAAAGATAAACCAAGTAAGGAAGACCTTTCAAAACAAATATTTAGTCACTTTATTGCGATTTGTTTTCAAATTCCTCCCACTTACATGGAAACCTTGCGCCCTAACAAATTAATTACAAAACTGCTCATTTTTGACGTCGAAATCACAACCTCTCTCATTTTAGCATTTGAAAATTGTGTAGAAAAAGTCTTATTGTAATTCCTCTTATCGGACAGCGTTTCAAATTTTTGAATTAATTCTGACTAAAAGCTTGAATTAAGAAAACATAGTCTCTGTAGTTTCGCCTTGGTCCTTTTGTAGGCGTTTTATGTGTTTTTTTCAGAAAAATTGCATGTCTGATTCTTAATGAATTGTTTTTTTTAATCAACTGTTGTCCTAAAATTAGGCAAAAGCTGGACGTCTCCGAAAAAGCGCATGCCTGTTGCATTGTTCTTTTTTGACATTCCAATGCAGTTTTTGCATTTCAATCGCTATATCAACGCTTTTTCTATGTCTCAAGGTCAGATTTGTTTAAGAATCTTACCACTTTGTCCAATAAAATTGTCAAAAACTGTAAAACCGTTGTATAGAGAGTTGCAAAAAATTGAAACAGACAAAATTAACTGAAAAGAGCAAATGAACTTATTTGAGACAAATTTTGCATGCAAAACCTAAATTTTCAGACGGAAAATATGTCTCAAGGTCAAGAAAAAAAGTCAAATCTGCATGCATAAGTTGCTCAAAATTATAATTAGTAGCAAAAAGTTCGGACAGACAGAATTAATTAAAATGAGCAATCAGTGCTTTTCGACGCTTTTTTGCATGCAAAATCTGAAGCCCAACAACCTTGAATTTTTTGTCAGGCCAAATTCAAAATGCGAGATCGTCGATTATCCGATGATTATGCTAGCCTAATTTTTAAATACTGCTATGAGCATCCAGATTTTACTATAAAACATTTCGACGCTTCGGATGCAATTGCCCGCCGTGGTTATAGGTTTTGAGCGAAACTCGGATCTACTTAACAATCCCCCTATTGTATCTACCAAAGAATCTCCACCCCTGTAATTGAAAACAGTAATTTCGCACAAGAGCATTGTATGTAAATTCGGATTTCGCTGCATTCTTATTGGTCGACAGTTTGCTGCAAGTAACCTTAGTAACGATCTACTCCCATTTCTTGAAATGGGGATTAATAAGTAGATCCCGTATTTCTTTTTTCTGAACTTTCGACGTTATGTTTATTTCAGTTTTAATTTTCGTTGATCTCTAGACAGTTGCTCTTTTTAATTAATTCTGTCTGTCCGAACTTTTTGCAACTCTCTATAGCAGATTGCTGTTTTTAGTTATTTTTGTTTGTTTAGTTTATTTGCTACTTATTATATTTTGATCAATACTTTAGTTAGTAACAAAAAGTTTGGACAGACATAACTGATTAAAAGTTTGGACCATTGTCTCACTATTGTCTGAAACATCAAAATAACACGCAAAACTCAGTCGAAAACTTGAGATTGCTTTTTAAAATTAAACCTGTATGTTCGAATTTTTTGGAGTTGAAAAATTTGAACAGACAAAAAGAATTGAAAAGAGCTATTGACTTATTTCAGAAAATTTTTGTGGAATAGCGTTTGCAAGAAAGGATCGAAATAGTTTTTCAAGGACTACTGAAACTTAATTTTGTTTGCATTTCTCAAGAAATGAAAGAATTGTTTTTTTAGTTTCTGAGAGCAACATTTTCTTATCTGATGTCAGAGAAATAGAAAAATAGCTTTTAAAAAAGTTAATGGACAACGTCTCAATTCTGACCTTGAAACGCAAAAGAAAAAAATGCGTTGAAATTGCAAACGAATTATTATAATTAGTAGCATAAAGTTCCGACAGACAAAAATAAATAAAAAAGTGCAAGTGGCCTATTTCAGACAAAATTTACATGCAAAAGTTAATTTTTCAGACAGAAAAGATGTCCAAATGTCACCTAACAAATCAAATTTGCATGCAAAGACTGCTCAAAATTGTCAGATTGCTCTTTTTAATTATTTTTTTGTCTGTTCGAACTTTTTGCAACTCTCTATAGAATTGTATTAAAACTGTCAAAAGAGCAAACCAAAAAATTGCACTATTTCAGAGCCATTTTTTAAAAATAATTTCAAGGCCCCAGCTTCAAAGCATTTTTGCTTTCAGCAGCGATATTTGACATGCATATTTTCAAAAAAAGCGCATAAGCGCCGGCAAAAGGCAAACGCAAAACTTCAATAAACTGCTTCTAATGAGGTTCAGATTGAAAGTCAAAATTATTTTGAAAAATTTGAGACGTTCGAGAAATTTCTTAAAATATTAAGGATCAAGTGACACTTTGAACTTGAAATAGGCACGATTACATTTCAAAAAGCATGTTTTCAAAATTATTGAACCTCAAACTTGTGCAGGTTGCGTCTAACGTATGATATTTGATCTTGTATTTGACAAATATTGGGCAAATTGATCAAATAGTTGGCGCGAGAGTTAAGCATCTTTAAGAAACCGATTTCTCTCACGTTCAAGTTACTATAACATTCAATTCCTATTCTTTATCATGCAAAACATTCACGTGTTTGACCTTTTTGTATGACAATGATGTTATAATACCCTCAATAACTTTTATGCAATAACCGATGTTTAGCTAAATGAAATAACTAATTTGGATTTGTTTCCTTCACATAATTGGTTGCTTTTGTTTGCAAATTGATTCCATCAAATTTATTTTGGTAGTTAAGTTTTGATCACCTTCATTAAAATTTCTCATTCATAAAAGTTCTGACAGAAATGGATGGAAAAAGTAAGTATCAATTACTACTTTTCAATTTTTAGTTCAACAATAATCTGAAATACAAGATTCCAAAAAAGAACGCATAAAAAACCTATAAAAATACAAACAAAAACACAGTAAAAAAACAAGAGAAAAAGCAGAGTTGTTGAAAAATAATGTTATGGAATTAACCAGCACGAATAGTTATATCCATCATAACCAATAAAAACTTTTAAGCGCACTTCATTTTTCCTTAGCTTTTTTATTGCACAAAGGAAACTGACTACGTTATTAAAATGTCAACATATTTCCATACACTTCATTCTGTATTTATCAACTAAATATTTTGATTGGTTACTTTCATGTTCTTCTAGTGTTTTGATGTCTTTTTTTAATCGAAAACCGTCCTTAAGCTTTATTCATATTTAAATCAATATTTTGCGTAAAACCTAAAGGAACAAACTTTTATCGAAACATCACCACAAGGTTTTAAAAATGAAACTTGAAAGTTTATTCAAGTAAAGTTTATTCAAGTTTATTCAAGTAAACAAAAAACTTGAAAAGAATACAAAAACTTATTTCATTAAAATGGATGTTTGTTCAGTTTACGAGTGTCTTCAATGCAGTGAAAAACTGGGCTTAAGCGACCGACCAGTGATGACAATCCGGAAAGGGAAAGCCATGTATTACTGCCAGGCATGCTGGAAACTATCCAAAGACAACAAATCAGCAAACAATTCACCCCTAATGCAACAGAAGAAGTTCTCATCTGGGCCAGCAGCTGCCAAAGTGAACAGCGGGATGCCCGCAACACCGTCGGCAGCGCCGAAAACTACAACGACAATTTCTACGAAGGCGACAACAGTTACGAAAACAAATACTGCTCATCCGCAGGTTGCCGCTAGTGCAACCGGGAGGCAAATTGTTCCGAATGGCGGTGGGGCGACAAAGAAAGTTGAACCGAAGAAAGACGTGGTTTTGTGCCCAAAATCTGGAGCTGCGGGTACACAAGACGAAGAGTTGAAGCCCCTGAAGCCTTCGGTGCCGGGTGGGGTGACTACAAATTTGTTGAAGAATGCAAAGGACGAGGAAGATTTAGCTGCGATTACGGGTAAGTTTAAAATCTCAATTTTAATTTTCTTGTTTAAAATCAAGGCTTTTCAAAAAAGCCCTTTTGTATATTTGTTTGCCCCTTTTTTAATCTTTCGAACGAGTCTCCCTACCCTAAATTTTATTATGTTTTGTAGCCATAAATCAAAACTGGAATTAAAAAAAACGAACCCTTAAGTACTCACAGCGGTTTATCAATCACTTTGAGAAGTTCTGTTGTTCAATCGTTTACGAAGCTTTTTTACGTTTCTTTCTAATGGCCCAAAGTTGGACTGGTTGATCACTATAGATTAAAAATACTATTGAGAAAAGCTGTTAATTAAAAAAAAAATCCAAATGTACTTATCATTTAATGTTTATATATGAAAACTGTATGGCTAGCATTTTTTAAGGTGACACAAAATTTTATCTCAGCCTAAAAATTAAAACTTAGTTATCTCAGAATACAGGGCTGATTTAAATTACCCGGACAAAACGAGCTAAACTTAAAACGCGTTTTTTTTTCAAATTGGGTTGAGTTTAGGTGAAAACTTATGGAGACAAATTTGCTTAAATTTTTACCAGAATTAATATGGTGCAATTTGTTTTGCGAAATTGGGGCCCAAAATTTTACCCCAAAAATGGGTCATTTTGGCTTTTCTTAGTTAATCAAGAAATACGCCAAAAACACCCGTTCGATCACAGACATAAATAGATCAAAATGAGCCCCTTACGTAGCCCAACAAAGTTTGAGAAGGTTATGTTCTCCAAAGCATTGTATAAGTTAATTCATTTTTGTTTGATAGACAAAAAAAGGTCGTTTTTACAATATATAAAACAGCAACTTTTTATTTAAAAACAATTTTTAAACAATTTGCAATTTTTTTGGAGAAAATACCCTTTTAAAGTCTGTTGGGCTACGCAAGGGGCTCACTTTGGTAAAGTTATGTCTGAGATCGACTGGGTTTTTTTTGGCGTAATTTTTAATTAACTAAGAAAAACCAAAATGATCCATTTTGTGGTAAAATTTTGGGCCCGAATTTTGCAAAACAAATTGCACCATATTAATTCTGCTAAAACTTTAAGCAAGTTTTGGCTTCATAAGTTTTCTCTTGAACTCAACCCAATTTGAGAAAAACGCGTTTTAAACTTCAAGTTTAACGGGTTTTGTCCGGATAATTTAAATCAGCACTGTACTGCTTGTACAATAAAAACAAATTGCTGATTTCAATGTGCGAGCATTTGTGTTTGCTTACGAGTCTTGTTCACTTGTGTATGCTTATGAACGCAGCCGAAAAGTGATAGAAAAAAGTATGAAACTTTATTGGTTTATGGAAAAAAAAATTCACACAAATTCATTATTTCAAACAATTTCAGTGTTAGATTTATCACTCATTGTTTTCATCTTATGAAAATCATCGGAAAATGTACGATTTATTTTTTTATCAAGGGAAAGCCATGTATTACTGCCAGGCATGCTGGAAACTATCCAAAGACAACAAATCAGCAAACAATTCACCCCTAATGCAACAGAAGAAGTTCTCATCTGGGCCAGCAGCTGCCAAAGTGAACAGCGGGATGCCCGCAACACCGTCGGCAGCGCCGAAAACTACAACGACAATTTCTACGAAGGCGACAACAGTTACGAAAACAAATACTGCTCATCCGCAGGTTGCCGCTAGTGCAACCGGGAGGCAAATTGTTCCGAATGGCGGTGGGGCGACAAAGAAAGTTGAACCGAAGAAAGACGTGGTTTTGTGCCCAAAATCTGGAGCTGCGGGTACACAAGACGAAGAGTTGAAGCCCCTGAAGCCTTCGGTGCCGGGTGGGGTGACTACAAATTTGTTGAAGAATGCAAAGGACGAGGAAGATTTAGCTGCGATTACGGGTAAGTTTAAAATCTCAATTTTAATTTTCTTGTTTAAAATCAAGGCTTTTCAAAAAAGCTAAGAAAAACCAAAATGATCCATTTTGTGGTAAAATTTTGGGCCCGAATTTTGCAAAACAAATTGCACCATATTAATTCTGCTAAAACTTTAAGCAAGTTTTGGCTTCATAAGTTTTCTCTTGAACTCAACCCAATTTGAGAAAAACGCGTTTTAAACTTCAAGTTTAACGGGTTTTGTCCGGATAATTTAAATCAGCACTGTACTGCTTGTACAATAAAAACAAATTGCTGATTTCAATGTGCGAGCATTTGTGTTTGCTTACGAGTCTTGTTCACTTGTGTATGCTTATGAACGCAGCCGAAAAGTGATAGAAAAAAGTATGAAACTTTATTGGTTTATGGAAAAAAAAATTCACACAAATTCATTATTTCAAACAATTTCAGTGTTAGATTTATCACTCATTGTTTTCATCTTATGAAAATCATCGGAAAATGTACGATTTATTTTTTTATCAGTTTATGTAAATTTTGATTTTTTTTTGTTGTTCAACGCTGGACCGTTGAGTTTTTGGTTGGTCAACGCTGGATGGTCTTAATAATTGAAATTGAATTTAATCTGAGTGTTTGAAGCTGGTGGTTATTTTATAAATTGCGAAATTTTTTCGCGTGCCCTGACTTCAATCAGATGAAAAAAATAGTGCTTCGCTCAAAAAAATCTTCGCGTGCCGTATCCCGTTTTTTTTCGAAGTAGAAATTTTTGAATGAGAGATGAAAAAAATTTTGATCATCAAAGTTTTTCAGGTCAAACAATTTTTATTATCAAATTTTAGATCTTGTTATCCCCCCCTTTGGGACCTTGTTAACTACCCGCCCATGCATGTATAATTTTTCACAACCATTTGTATAAAAAATGCATTTCAAAAATGTCAACAATTAAGTAGGTTTTTATTTTCGCGTTCGTATTTGTATTACTCAATAACCAGTACTCAATACTCAATTATATAATACCCACGTAAAAAAATTGAAAATTTATTTTTTCTGAAAATTGTCTAAAGCAATTGTAAATGTGGCCAACAAAGTTGAATTTCTGAAAATCAAAACAGGAAGGAAATAGTTAACAAGATCCCAAGTTTTATTATCAAAAAAACTGGAGGGCAATATTTAAATTTTGATATCAAAGAAACAAAAATTTGAAATATATGCATTGCTGGAATTTTGTAAAATCCTTGTTCTTTCAGGGCATCAGTTTATTGTTTGAACGTCCCGGTGTGTTTTGTTTATGTTTTTAAGATGCTTTTTCATAAACTGCAAAAAATTGTGACGTCAACAAAGATACGTATAGAGACTGCAAGAAAAATCAGGTTTTTAAGGCAAACAAATTTTAATCAATAAAACTGGAGGTCCATGTTAAATTTTGATATCAAAGTAATGAAATTAGGAAAAATTGCTCTGCTAGACATTGGTAAAATCAGGCGCGGATCTAGGAATTTCTCGAGGGGGGATGCGGATTTTCAAAAAACTGTTTGAAAATTTTGTCAACCTTATTTTTTTTAGGTCGACCAAATTGATTTCTGAGCTCACCCAAACCACTATAAAGACTCTAAATTGACGAAATTTTCTGCGCCGCAGGCAAATTTTGACAAAAAAGGCCAAAAAGGCGTTTTTATTCACTTTTTGGGAATATTCGACCAAAAAATCGCGTTTATTTGGCGCGCGGTGCCCTCTCAAAATTAGTATAGATTGGCGCCGGAGGCGCCTTTAGAAAAATTTTAAGGTCATTCAGCCAAAAATAGATATCTCAAAATAGTTCAAAGGGGGACCCTTTGGGTCGACAGGGGGTCCAATTCCTGAAAGAAAAGGCGTCCCCCCGCAACCCCCCCCCCCCCTTAATCCGCTACTGGGTAAATTCTCTTTTTTTCCGGGCATCAGTTTAGCTTTTGAACCTCCTGATGTGTATTGTTCATGTTTTTATGCTAGTTTTTTTTGTATACTGCATGAAAAATTATAACGTTATCAAAGATACGAATATAGACTGCATCAAAAAGTGTAGTGTGAACGAAAATACGGATTTAAATTTACGTTTATAGTCATGCACCGTTTTGACCATAATTTGAATGAAAATTTGCAGAAGTTGAATATTATAACTAAAAACAAAAATAGATTTAACATGCAACTCAGTCGTTTTTGAATTGAATTGTTGGCATAACAAACAAAGAAACATAACGTGACTTGTTAAAAACGTTTTTTGTTTTCATTTTTTCTAACATTAGAGTCACAAGTAGAACATCTTTCTCAGTTAATTTCTTACTTTCTCATTGCCGACTCTTTCAGCGCGCAGACTTGAATCAACTTTCCTCCGAAGTTCAGATAATGTTCTTTTTATAGTGATTTATAGATTTCTGAACTTTCCTTTACTATCGCTGAAATTGCAATCAAGCATCTGGTTATTTTTCGCCCTCAAACTACCTACGTTATTTTGTACCGCTTCTTGGTTGATTCATATTATCAGCATTTTGGTGACAATCATTGATTCAGAAACGACCTATCGAGTATTTCAATCTACTTTTAATATTATATACACAATTTTGGAACATAGCATTCATAATCGTGAAAATCCCCTAACTAATCATCTATCAATTTATCAATTTGAAACAAATATGAAAAATTTTTTTGATACTGAGTTCTTTCATTTCGGGTTTATTCGATTGCAATTGAATATGAAAATTTATTGTTTATTTAAATGCGGGTGTCACTATTTCGCCATGTTTAAGTTTTTTGAATGTCTTATTTTGCATGTTTAAGCTTTATCGTATATTGCAATGGTTAAGATTTTTTTTTCAAATTCCGAGTTTAAATTCAGTGTTTATTTCATCTAAATATAAATAAGCAACCCAATTGCGGAGTTCTGTCAGAATTTTCCCAGGTTTTGTGATTCTGGCTTCTGGCCTCCATATATGAATAAACAAATCGTTTTAGTTTACGAGATACAGCAATTTTCGAGGTTTTTCGAAATTTTTCTGAAAATTGAGTTTTAAAAATGTCTCAAACTTTGAAAGACACCCTGTAGTTGGGAGCTATCAGGGCATTCTCAGGGATTGCGAATCTTGCCTCCAATCTCGCTTCTCAAGTCCTTGAAGTTTTCGAGATATAGCGTTTTTTGATTTTTTCAAATCTTTTCAAAAAAAAAGCTGATTTCAAAAATTCCAAAACTTTGGAAGATCTCAATCCGGTTGCTGAAAAATACTGTGTGAGGGTACTCTCAGGGCTTGCGAATCTTGCCTGTGAGCATGGCTGCTCAAATCCTTGTAGTTTTTGAGATATGACGTTTTTTTGATTTTTTCAGACAATTTCGAAACAGTAGATGTTGAAACATTCCAAAACTTTGAAGATTTTAAAACTGTTATTGGAAACAATGAGGGTACTCTCAGAGGTTGGCGAATCTTGCCTCTGAGTATGGCTGCTCAAAACGTTTAATTTTTCAAGATAAAATATTTTTTAGGTTTTTTCTCAAAACTTTTCAGAGAACTTAGAAAAGATTTCACATAGATTGAAAACACATTTAGTTGGGGGCTTTCAGAGTAATCTCAGTGGTTGCAATTTCGGGTTCCAAATAGGAATAACCAATTTTTTTTAGTTTAAGAGGTGCAGAAATTTTTCGAGATTTTTTTGGAAATTTCCAGAAAACTCAAATTACAAATGATTTCACCAAAGTGAAATTCCCAATCCTGTAGTTGTCTGCCGTCAGAATACTGTCAAAGATTGCAAATAATGCCATCAAATAAGACTGCTCAAAGCGTAGTAGTTTTTGATGAGTGACATTTTTTCTGGTTTTCAAAAAAAAAATTTATTTAGAAAACTAAGGTTGAAGTTTCTCAAAGTTTGAATTTCCTAAGGTTGTACTTGGGTGCTGTAAGAGTACTCTCAGGAGTTGCAAATCATGCGTCCAAATGCGACTGCCCAATTGCTTTTTTTCCCAGATGTGATGTTTTTTAGTTGACTTTATGTTTTTCAAAGTTTTTCTAAAAAACTTCACAAATTTTTATGGTTCTTCAAAATTTGTATAAAAAATTTTTTTACCAAACTTGACAATACGAACCCTGTAATTGGGTTTTGTCCGAGTACACTCAAAGGTTGTAGATTTTTTTCCAATATAAGCGGTTTTTTGAGTTGTTAAAAGTTCGGAGTACCTGAACATCAGGTCTCTTTCCGAAAAAAGCTGTATGTCATATCAAACCCGATCTAAGCAAAAACTTAAACACAAAACTTTTACAAGGTTAGACAGTTTTGTTTTGATTTTTAGATTTTTAATGCATGTTTTTTTTGTCGCAACGAGTTATTTTTTGAAAAATTGCTACATCGAAACAAATTTAGCTTAAGTTCAATTGCGACACCAAAAATTCATTTGTAATTTTTAGCTTAAATTATTTCTTTCTATTTTTCTCTTATTTCTTTCTATTTCGAAGAAGTTGAAGTCGCCCGTTGTCAGTCTGAAACGTAGACTTTCTAGATCCTCTATTGATTTGCGCATAGGGCGAAGTAACGCTTACCAGTGCAAATGAAAAAGAAAAAAAGTGCCACCTAAAAAGCTCGAAACAATCATGAGAACATGGAAGAATTGATTTGTTGTGCGTTAGTGGTACTTTAGTCAGATTTCCAAAGAGAGTGAAGAATGTAAATATTTGTATACTTTTTTCTGAAGAAAAACCTCATTGGTTTTCGAGTCAGTTTCTGAGGTTTTTTTCAGTGAAAAAGTATAACACTTTTTGAAGCCAAATCTTATAAGCATTTATTCTATAAAATTGTACGTTTACAAAAAAGCTCGGCTTGGGAGAATACCAAAAAGGCATCAGCGTGTCGGGTGGAATTTCCATGACCAAAATCTATTCGTCTACTTTTTCAAACTAAGATCATATAGACAAATGAACCGCAAAAATTCTCCAAACATCACAAAAAAACTAAAAGAAAAGAATCTTTGTTTTGGTGTTACCATAACATACTCA